CTTTTAAATCCGACTCATGGTACGTCAACTATTTTTATTAGTAACTCAAAAAGTAAGCGTCAGACAAAATTTTGCCAAATAAAAAATTGTCTTAGAATTTAGTCAAGAATATGTATTTTCAAAGATAACGGGTTGTTCTGAATCACCCTGTATAGGCATATTCCAAACTGTTCCAAAATATATCCAAAAATTTTTTCAAGCCAATCGGATAAGTGCATTTTAAATGGTAGCATCTCAAAAAGTGGACAGGGTCAAATTGACCCAGATTGTTCTTCTTGATTGAAAAAATAGGTGTGTTCCCCGAGGGTTAAGATTCCACTGAAGATGGCTTAAATATGTAGCCGAAACGTTTGGAATATTGATATATATCATTGTTTATTACATTCCACCTTATACTTGGTCCCAATTGCCCTTCTACCATCTCATTAAAAACACTAGTGTTTTGCAAGTATTTTTTTTTTTTTTTTTTTTACAAAGAAATCGAAACGTTTTTATTTTCGACGCAAAACGGCGTCGAGAAAAGTGTCTTGGCTGTCTCCGCGTCGGCTGTGTGTTGAAACGGTATTACTTTTTTACTCCTTTTCAAATGCTCCGAATACACGTCGAGCTCTTGCGCGCGTCGCTCGATATCGGCCGCGAGAAAAGTCACTCTCTCTGCACAGCTCGCGATATCGTTCGGCGCCCTTATCTTCGCGCGCCAAATGGCCGTGCCAATTTCCAATTCCCCGACGCGGTGCTGATTCTTACCGTCTTTGCTCGCACAGTCCGAAACACACACACACGGGCGTGTGTGTTATATATCGACGGGTGGCAAATCGATATTTACATGTCCAGAAATAGACCAACCGCCGGTCTACGAGTTTTCCCCCATAAGGAGGGCGAGAAGCGGATTGCAACGTCGCGACGCTCACAGCCCCCTGTCCTTAACGAAAGTTTCTCTCACCCTTTTAACCCATTTGCCGCCCCGTAGGCCGCATGCGCTGATCGAAACCACATTATCCGGCACATAAACGAGCGATTAAGATTAAACGGAGGAGGAAAAAAAAAGGACTAATATCTCTCCATCGAAATGTGAATTTCGCCCGACACGTTTATCAAAGATCAAACGGGGGAATGCGCGCGAGAGAACGCGAAAAATTGATCGATTAGTTTTATCGGTTGTTCACAAAACGCGCGCGTTTTCGTTTTTGATCGATTGCCAACCGCGGTCCATAACTAGATGGCAACCCGGTGGGACATCTCGCTACTTGAGATTCATTCGAGATAAGAATATCAACGATGTACGCGCGGAGATTCGTCAGCGAGGCTAAAAATATCGCGCGCGCACTGCCAGCAGCTGTGACAGCATTGCGGCGCGTTCAAGGTGCGTGTTCCGGGGGACGCGAAAACTTCGACGCGCTACATTGTTTGATGCGACGCGAGTCTTTACGCTGGAATTTAATTGATTTGCATGTGTGTGCAACAATAAATGTCCCACGTATTTCTCGTCCCGTATATTCGTTGACTTGCTTTGACAGACGAACCATTTACACGCTCGCTATAATAGCACATTGCGACCTAGAGAGGTAAACGTGTTCTCTCCGGAGTCGCGACAGCCAGCGTCGCGACGATGGCTCGTATTTTTTCACTTAACTTTTATCGATAAATGCGCTCTGTTAAGGTATTACCCTCGATTGTTTTCTAATTTCATCAGTTTTACTTTAAACTTTTATACACAATGTTTAAAAACTTGATCTATGAACCCCTGAATTTTTGCAGATTTTTTTACCGTACAGTTTTTGAGAAAATCGAAAACGAATTTCGTATGATTTATCATGGAAGTGATAGGGAGAATGAGGAAATCGCGTGCATTTACCTAAATATCTAGAGTTCAAATTTTCAGATTTAGCTAAAAATATTATCACAGCTTCTTTAAATTATAAAGAAAATATGTGTGAAAAATCAGACGCCTGTACCGTACAGTTTTTGAGAAAATCGAAAACGAATTTCGCATGATTTATCATGGAAGTGATAAGGAGAATGAGAAAATCGCGTGCATTTACCTAAATATCTAGAGTTCAAATTTTCAGATTTAGCTAAAAATATTACCACAGCTTCTTTAAACTATAAAGAAAATATGTGTGAAAAATCAGACGCCTGTACCGTACAGTTTTTGAGAAAATCGAAAACGAATTTTGCATGATTTAACATAGAAGTGATAGGGAGAATGAGGAAATCACGTGCATTTACCTAAATATCTAGAGTTCAAATTTTCAGATCTAGCTAGAAATATTACTACAGCTTCTTTAGACTATAAAGAAAATATGTGTGAAAAATCAGACGCCTGTACCGTACAGTTTTTGAGAAAATCGAAAACGTATTTCGCATGATTTAACATGGAAGTGATAGGGAGAATGAGGAGATCACGTGCATTTACCTAAATATCTAGAGTTCAAATTTTCAGATTTGGCTATTACTACAGCTTCTTTAAACTATAAAGAAAATATGTGTGAAAAATCAGACGCCTGTACCCTACAGTTTTTGAGAAAATCGAAAACGAATTTCGCATGATTTAACATGGAAGTGATAGAGAGAAATCGCGTGCATTTACCTAAATATCTAGAGTTCGAATTTTCAGATTTGACTAAAAATATTACCACAGCTTCTTTAAACTATAAAGAAAATATGTGTGAAAAATCAGACGCCTGTACCGTACAGTTTTTCAGTAATAATTAAAATAACACAGAAAACGAGCGATTTTGTGATTAATATGAGAAAGAGCGACGTTGCCATTTCCTCAATTGGAGTGAAATAGAACTATCTGCGCTTCCCCGCGCCCGCAAGGACGTGAGTGTAACACCTTAAATGCGCGTTCGCGTCGCTGTGGATTTTCAGAAATAAACAAACGCATTTGTCGACAAAGGCGAGACGCGACCGTCAAATTTAATCTCGCAACATTGATTCAATTCGACGCAGCGAAAACTCATCTCGTCTCGTCTTGCAAGATAACAACAACGATATTTCTCAATCAATAATACCGCGCGTGTTGCATAATAATATCACTTGATCAGCCGCAATCAGACACGCATCGGTGAATCGCGTGAGGGTACGCGTTCGCGAAATAATCGCAAAACATTACGTACATATATCACATCGTTTTCAATGATGTTGGTTTTATCGTGTCGTTCGGTGTCTTATTTTATTTTTTTATTTTTTTATTTTTTTGATAAGGATGAGGAATCGAGATAGCAAGGGAATTGTATCGGCAATTATCGAAGTCGCAAGCAATTTAAATATCAAACGGATCTGTGTTGTCTATAGAGCGTATTTTGCATTAATTAGTAAGCAATATTATTATTTATGTGCGCGATTGTGATCGACGCGGTTACGTTCGTCGCGGCGTGTTGTTTGTGCGCGTGTCGTTCAGCAATAATAACAAAGCGCAGTCGTCGCTACGGGGTTCATCGATCACACCTAGGCTATCAAAACATTACGTTTGCCCTTTAACTTTCAGCTCAAGCGAAGGCGAACAATGAAAATCATAACGCTAGAGGTTCTCAAAGAGCAAGAGAGAATTGCGTGAGAAAAAAACTTTGCAAAAAGAAAGAAAAAAATCAACTACGTTGCCTCATCTCGCGGCACCCTCTATCGATTGCGCGAGAATATTTGCGCGCCGTTCTATTTTAGAACATACATTTACCCCATTTCCCTCTTTTCCCTTGTTTACTCTGTAACACGACGTGGCTTTCCGAGCAACGTGGATCCCTCAACGCGCGACGATTTTAAAGAGAGCGGCGCCTCGCGCGTCACACTCGAGTTTCCATTTTTACGAAAATTGAGAAACGTCGTCGAAATGACCCGGTCTCTGTTTTTTTTTTGTTTTTTTGTTTTATCTCTCTGCTGTTTTGTTTTCCAGGCCTTGCTGTACCTGATACAGTTGCTGGATCCCATCGTAAAGGGCGATTACGTTATCGCGTACTTCCACACCCTTACGGCCAGCAACAATTACCCCAGTTTGCACTGGCTGCGCGAAGTCTACAACGTTCTTCCCTACAAGTAAGTAAGGCACACCTGAACTATCGAACACATCGAGCTTATTGATCCGCATTTCAGTGTGGCCGAATCACGAAGTGCGTCGCCACGTGTGTGCACATGTGATTTTACGTCACGGGGACTGTACTGGGGGGAAACGAAACGTTTTTTATTATCCGCGATTATTTGCAATCTTTTTCGGATTTGTACCGTCGATTTGTTGTAATCGTACACGATTGTAAAAATAAAACATATCGAATTTTGTCTCATCGCTATAACAAATTCACGGTGCGCAATTCGATATCGTTTGTTTGTTTTGCGGAAACTCGATAGCGAAACTCTTGAAAAGGAAGATGTTTTTTTTTATTTTACTTTTGATGTTTTTTTTTCTTTTTTACTTTTATAATAAACAAAGTCAAAATTTGCACCTTTACATCTGTTGTCTGCTTCTAAGAGCCATTGTTCAGTTAAATATTTTTTTTTTTTATTTTACTTTTGATGTTTTTTTTTTTACTTTTATAATAAACAAAGTCAAAATTTGCACCTCTACATCTGTGTCTGCTTCTAAGAGCCATTGTTCGGTTAAATATATATTTTTTTTTAATTTTACTTGCAGATACAAGAAGAATCTGAAGCATTTCTACATTGTTCATCCCACCTTCTGGACCAAGGTCGGTAACAGTATCATCACGCGCAGTAATTGTAAAATAATTCCTATTGCGTGATTTTAACGCCGAACGTACACGAGCGATTCCGAATGAGGATATTATGTCCGACAAAAAAAAAATTCTCGTTAAGACGCAGAAGCGTGTTGTTTTTAATGAATGCGCTCTTATGGCATTTCCCACGTTTATATTCTATCACGTTCAATTATCGTCGGAACAATCGTATATTTCCTGACTATTCGCAGTTCGTTAGCGAATATATAATTTGCGCGTAGGCAATTTTTCATTGCCTAAAGAGACGGGTTGTTCTATAACTGAAATTTTGTACAAGAATATAATTAACACAGTTTGATAGAAAACTCAATTATTAAAAAGAGAGACAAAATTAAACACGAAACTTTTCTCAAATACTTTTTCTAGTGTAATTATTTTACATCGTGATAAACTCTGTGTGTTGTAAAATTTTCCTCAAAGTAAAATTTCGATCGCTCGCTACAGATGATGACGTGGTGGTTCACGACCTTTATGGCGCCGGCCATTAAGCAGAAGGTTCACAACTTGCCCGGTGTGGAATATCTTTACGAAGTTATGCCGCCTGATCAGCTCGAGATCCCCGCGTACATCACGGAATACGACATGACGGTAACGTAAATAAATAAATAAAAAAAAAAAAAAAACGAGCCGATTCGCGCAAAATCGGAGAGATCCCAAATCGAGCGGTCTCGCTTGAAATTTTTGTTTTTCCTTTCAGATAAACGGATTGAGGTATTATCAGCCGGATCAGGTCTCGTCGTCACCGTCGACGTCCACGTAACTCGCAGGTGAAAATCGTTACGAGAGCAGCGAAGCGTCAAGATGGAGGCCGGACCGTGTGTTATGCTTGACTTTAACTCGTATTCTCGCAGTGACATCCGTGTGCCGCTACTTGTTGTACGTAAGAGCCGTGCGCGCGGTCGCCGACGTGTCCCGCCGTTGTTTCGTTACGGCGAGGCGAAAAACGCTACGTTGTCTGAACTCGATGATACGCGCGATGATATGCGGCAAGACGACATTAAGTCCGGCTCCGCGATATATCCCGAAGACGACGTTTCGTCCAAGTGCCTCGTGAGGAATTCCGCTTTGTTTTTTTACGTGGGAAGGATAAAAAAAAAAAAAAAAAAAAGAAAGGACAATCGGCCGCGCGTACGTCGCGATTTACGAATTAACACAATACAATTATATACGCGAATACTAATATAACAAAAAAAAAAAAAAAAAAAAANAAAAACAACAATTAAGGAAAACCACTGCCCGCCTGCTTTCGACGTTGATCGGTTTCTTCTATGCGCGTGCGGAGATTTCACGTCTCCCGGTAAATGGAACGAAGATGAGATGAACACTTGGACAAATGGACAATCCTCCACGTAAAGAAAAGATCGACCACCACGTGTGCGCACCGCTGGAAGCGCGTCGCTAAACAGCGTCATATGTCACTTCACCTCATTCAGAGTAAAACAAAGATAACTATATATACACACACACACATATATATATATATATTGTATTCGCTTAGAGCGAAAATCGGCTGCCAAAAAAACGTCAGTAATCAGTATTTTCGTCGTCGTTGTCATTTCGCAAAATGAAAAACAGAAAAAAGAGAAAAAAAACCCGAAGCTGACGTAGATGAAACTTGCCCCCCCCCCCCTGTACATACTGCGCTATTTCGGTGGCAGATAGATAGGCTTTAGGAAAAAAAACGCTGCCTGTGAAAAAGCGATAGGAGGAACGAAGTTTGAAATTTGCATGACGACGGCACTAGAAGACATCGGCTTAAAAATACACAGATCTACCGTCGATCGCTTTCTGTTGTATTTTCGTATATCGATCGTTACATAGCGAAAAAAAAAAATCGTCTATTCGATTATATTGTATACTGTCAATATTTTATTAAGTCACACACGCTACGTCGTGTCGATGAAAAAAAAACAAAAAACAAAAAAAAAAACAAAACAAATAGAAAAGAGTGCGCCGCCGTTGCAGCCGCCGCCGCCGTTGCCGCAGAGCTACATAGAAACGCGGTATTTTTTCGATAAACTGTAAAGATATATTAACAAATCATCATCGGCTGAGCGCGCGAAAACCAAAAAAAAAAAAAAAAACACAAAAGCGAAACGTTGGATGTTTTACTGTGATGTTCACGTCTCCGGTGCTCGGCGGATTTGGTGAATTTTAAATGCGTGTTTTTTCTCCGTCTCCTTCCTCCGCGGAGGCGCATCCTCGTCCCCTCTCCCCTCTCCCCTCCCCCTCCCCGGATTCGCGCGATCTTTACCGCGGAAATCGTTATCGTTGAGCGCCGAAGTCGTATTATATACGCGCGTAACGCGGCAAACAGTCTTACATAGATTAGAAGAAGCAATAAAAAACAAAAAAAAAAAAAAAACCTAAGAGCTTGCTCGCGATGTATTTCGGGAGAATACACAATCGTTATCCCCCCACTTCCCCGTTGTTAAGCATTTTTAGCGATTAAACGAAAATAAATTATAAAAAAAAAGAAGTTGAAGCCTGTTAATCGCGTCGATTAGCCCATTTCTCATTAGCCCGTCGAATGTTGTACGAGTCTTTTTTTCGTTTTTCCACGTTCCCGGAACGCGGGAACGTAGAACTTTTGATCTCTTCTCTCCGTTGTTCGTATTTTTTTTTTTTTTTTTTTTTCGTGTCGATCGGAGTTTTCACGATGAGAGGAAAACAAATTGTCCACCTCGCGAATCGCTCGGAGGACGAGTTGAGAAGGCAATGGGTTAATTGACACCGTGTGCTACCTCCGCCGAAGATCGTATCCGTCTCGATCGAACGGAACGAGTGTTTGTACGCGTTGAAGAATTTAGAGAAACAATTGTGTGTGGAATATACAAAAACAAACCAAAAAAAAAAAAAGACTAAAAGCGTGTCACATTCGTCGTTGGCTGTTACGCTTGGAAGACGCGGCCGGTGTTTTCCCCCCCACCCGAGCACACGATCACGTTGCTCGCGATGAGAGTAAAAAGTAGTATTTTTTCATGCTAACGTATCGTGTTGTATCTATATATAATGCGCGTACGCTCCTATGTTTCGCGTAAAAGCTCCTATAAAAAAAAAAAACAAAAAACAAAAAATGCTGTTCGCGCTGCGAATAGTGGGAGATTGTTGTGGGATAGATCCCCGTACTATTCGGAGGAGCCGATGGCGCGAAAATCGTGCGATTTCACGCAATTACAGAACGTTTCTCGGTTTTGCGTTTTAATAACCTTACTGTCCGTCCCTGACAATCGAGAGAGCGTTTGACGAGTTAGCGAAGGACTGCGAAAAAAAAGGTGCAACGTCGTTTCAAAAGATTGTTGTTATATCTACATATACATAAATGATATATATATATATATTTTATATTAGTCGTTACATTACTTTATTGAAATCATTTTACTATTGTCGAGCAACGCTCGGAGCGAATTATTACGTTGATGCGCGTCTTTATAATTTTTAACGTGTAACTTTGTACTTAAGGACGGAGTTCTTCTATGTGTATATACCGAATTTGTGCGATACGTCATTTGTTGTTTATCGTTTTTCGATGTTGACGCACGACCTTTTAACAGGTGCACTTCTCTTTCTTCGTTGTATTCATTTTTTTTATAGACTATATAATAAACGTTTTATTTCAATAAATGCGAACTCTCTACCTCCTCTACGTCCAAACAATTTAAGGTATTACTCTCGACTGTTTTCTAATTTTCAGTTTTACTTTAAACTTTTACACAATGTTTAAAAACTTCCCTGATAGAAAACCATTTACAAAATTATGTGACAAAATCTTGCACTAAAATTGTAATTTGCAATTATACAGACATATTTTAGGAAATAGATGCAAAAACATTGATCTTTTCTGAAATATTTGCAGTTGTTTGCAAAATTAATTTCCAAATACTATTTCGGCAAAAGAATAACGATATGGCGAATCATCTTAGCGGTATATTTGCAAAATTAATTACACAAAAAAATTGTCCAATAACTGAGAAAAGAAATTCAACTATGTGACGTTTAAAATATGTAGAAATATGATTGCATATAAAGAAATGCAAGAAATCGTCGTCACTCATGATGTCATATTTGTGCAATATTTTCACAATTTGCCTATTGGAGGTATATACTGTGGAAATGCATAACGACTTTTTCGCAATTTTTGACAAATATTATTTGCAAAATTTTATTTCGACAAAACTGTTGCGTTATGGCGAATCATCTTAGTGTAATCATTGCAAAATCGTCGCCATTCATGACGCCATTTTTGTGCAATATTTTCACAAATGTGCCTATTAGGGTTGATCTATGAACCCCAGAATTTTTTCAGATTTTTTTACCGTACAGTTTTTGAGAAAATCGAAAAAAAATTTCGCACGATTTAACATAGAAGTGATAGGGAGAATGAGGAGATCACGTGCATTTACCTAAATATCTAGAGTTCAAATTTTCAGATTTGGCTAAAAATATTACTACAGCTTCTTTAAACTATAAAGAAAATATGTGTGAAAAATCAGACGCCTGTACCGTACAGTTTTTGAGAAAATCGAAAACGAATTTCGCACGATTTAACATGGAAGTGATAGGGAGAATGAGGAGATCACGTGCATTTACCTAAATATCTAGAGTTCAAATTTTCAGATCTGGCTAAAAATATTACTACAGCTTCCTTAAACTATAAAGAAAATATGTGTGAAAAATCAGACGCTTGTACCGTACAGTTTTTCAGTAATAATTAAAATAACACAGAAAACGAGAGATTTTATGATTAGCATGAGAAAGAACGTCGTTGCCATTTCCTCAATTGAAGTGAGATAGAACTATCTCCGCTCCCCCGCGCCCGCAGGGACGCGAGGGTAATACCTTAAACATGTAACAAATTTACTGTGTTTTAAACTCGAGTCGGATACTCTATTGAAGACTCTTGTATCGCAAAATCGTGGATTCTCCTCTCCGACATGACACAAAATCTAAACCTCTCTCTTTCAAAATAAAAAAAAAATAAAAAAACATGATCTTTCCTACTTTCTCACAATAGTTAACATCATGTCATATGGACTGAATGATACAATGACGTCGTCAGATTTAACGTTCAAATAACATCGGATTTTGAACGTTGGAACGTGTAATCAGCGACAGAGTGCGTACTTGGAACACATATGTTTGTGGAAATGGAACGTTTTCTTCTTACAAGTTAGTCGAACAGACACGAATCCTCGCAGTAGAATGTTCGTAACGTAGCCGAATACTGCCGAACGTGACTACGTGCCGCGGAAGTCGTAACAAGATAAATATACACTCACGTATATAGAAGTACGTGATACACACGTAAGTACACGTACACAAACACAAGCGCACCGAAAGTGTACTATCCGCACACGTGGTCGCCGCAACGCGCCATCTCACCTGCCTGAATCATCAGATCTCTTGTTCGGTTACCTGGCGTGGGTCAAAGATTAATATCATCGCAGGCAGACGTTCTTTCTGCAAGTCAAAAAAAAACAGATCTCGGAAAAAAGTGACTTGGTGTAAAAAGTGTGCAAATTCGTACATCGAGCTTCAAGTTCAAAATAATCATTTAATAATACAACACCCACGTGAAACACAAACGTCCTACACACAAACGTCCGTGTTCACAGACGTGTTTGACGGACGTGTTGTGTCTGTGTGGGCAGTGAATAATCGATCTTTACGAGTCTCAAAACCTTCGCGTGTTCGAACAGTTTAAACTTCAAGGTAAAATTTGTCTCGTTAAAATTTTTCTCCGTCAATATCCAATCGATTAAATCAGAATAGAGACTTGATCCTGCGAGACACAGGAGCCTAACCTATAGACTCTTGGAAAATCCAAGAACCAATCAAAGAAAAGGAAATGAAGATTCAGGCGGAAGATTCAAACTATTCGGTCGGAAAAAAATTTCGATTATTCACAAAAAAACCCGTATGATTCTTCAAAAGATTACATTACACATTATTTTATATAAAAATTTAAGTTACTTACTAAATATTTTTCACATTTTTTTAAATTATCCACGCGCTAAATAATTTTCTTTACATAAATTTTAATACGATCGAAAAAAACAAAACGTTCTCTTCCGAGATGCGTTTCGAAGAGAGCTTTGTTATACAAGCAAACCGAGAGAATGCATTTTCTTAAGAACAATATTTGGTTGTTTGATTTCTCTCTCGGAAATTTTTGGCATAACAAAATCCTACATTTTGCACGCCAAGCGTAACCTAAACAACAAATATTAGAACCAGAATAGTTGCATTATCATATAAAAAGTATGTGAGCGATTGTACACATGCACGTATGTCTCTTTTATATTAGGATAAAAGTCCATTAACCTGGGAAAAAATTAGGGATTAGATACGATTTAAATTTAAGGAGATAAAACAAAAATGAAGAAAAAAGGATTTTTTTTTATTTACTCACAATCTAAGCAGATCTGAACGGATCTGAGATGGTCTAATATAGTAGATCTGAGTACCCGGTAAAAAATTTTTCATATATACTTATACACAAATTAAAATAATTATTAGATATAACATTATGCAAATTTATATGCCGAATATGTCCATACAATTTTATACACGGAGAATTTCTTTTTTTAAGAAAATGACTTCAGAGATATTTCATATCAAATTACAAAATAACTCTATTAGTATCATGTTAGATACAAAAAAAATTATATAAAACTAATTTTTACTATATTTTTAAACAATTTTTGATATATATACTTATCATATATAAGTATATATATGATATATATACTTATCATATTAATCATATATACTTATACACAAATTAAAATAATTATTAGATATAACATTATGCAAATTTATATGCCGAATATGTCCATACAATTTTATACACGGAGAATTTCTTTTTTTAAGAAAATGGCTTCAGAGATATTTCATATCAAATTACAAAATAACTCTATTAGTATCATGTTAGATACAAAAAAATTATATAAAACTAATTTTTACTATATTTTTAAACAATTTTTGATATATATACTTATCATACTTATACACAAATTAAAATAATTATATCTAATTATGCAAATTTATATGTGTCGAATATGTCCATACAATTTTATATACGGAGAATTTCTTTTTTTAAGAAAATGGCTTCAGAGATATTTCATATCAAATTACAAAATAACTCTATTAGTATCATGTTAGATACAAAAAAAATTATATAAAACTAATTTTTACTATATTTTTAAACAATTTTTGATATATATACTTATCATATATAAGTATATATATGATATATATACTTATCATATTAATCATATATACTTATACACAAATTAAAATAATTATATCTAATTATGCAAATTTATATACCAAATGTGTCCATACAATTTTATACATGAAAAATTTTTTACCGGGTAGGTATAAGGTAGATCTAAGAATAAATAGTGTCAATTTATAATACACACATATAGATCTATTTACATATCTCTTGTATTTATTTAGATATACTTTATATCTATTTAGATTTAAATTAGATCTAATTTTAGATCCATTTTTTCCCCCAAGAAGAAAATGAGTAGTAATTACCTAGAACGCGGTCAGTGATAATAAAGACAATTAGTAAGTAATTAATAAGTAAAGAAAATAATAATGGAAATTAAAATGAAATATAGAGATTATTTTATCTCTCTCTCATTTAAAAATTAAATCTTTTAATTATTTTTCTTATTTTCTCCTCCGAGTTTAAGACAATGTGACCTTTCATTGTTATATATATATATATACGTGGATATATACATATATACATATACATAAGTCTGATTCATTTTACACGTCGCTAACTTGCCGACGTTCGGAACACTCGGATCTCGCAGTTTGTGACGAGCTCTCTTCGCGATATAATTAATTCAAGATAAGACATTTAACATTTTTTTTTTGTGTGAAATTAACGTGCATAAAATTTTTTTATAAATCAAAACGTGTGTCAAACGTCATATATTGCACGTAAAGTTCTGCAGTGATACGTGAGGTATTGTAACGAAGATAACGACCGAGTCGTCGATAACGATAAGATTATTTTGACTGTTTCGTGTTGCAGTAAAATAATTGCCTTCTCTCTTTTTGATCTGATCACACGGAGGCAACAACAACATTTTACACAAATCTCCGTTGGAGTTGTAAACGTCCATTATAGACGTCTAACAGACGTTGTTGATCTTAAAGAAAATAAAAAATAATAATATCACGCGCGCGATAACAATTCGTAACAATTCATTCATAACGACGAAACGCTACACACACCTTCGCTTAAACAGCAATCAAATTATCAGTGACGCGTTAGCGCTTATATTAGGTCTACCGGAAAGGTTCTGTCCGTTTTTGGAATAAAACAAAATACAAATTTTTCGGAATTTTTCAAAAATGGGATATACAAATTGCCCTCACACTGGCAAGAAATCATTAATAATAATGGCAATTATATTTATTTAATAAAGTTTATTGACGGTAAGAAAAATTTGTATTTTGTTTTATTCCAAAAAACGGACAGAACTTTCCGGTAGACCTAATATATTTGTCGAAAATGAGAAATCACTTTTCATTTTCTCGTCTCTGACGTTGCAATGACGAACAGCCAACAAGAATTGTCTTTTGCCTAATATATTAGGTCTACCGGAAAGGTTCTGTCCGTTTTTGGAATAAAACAAAATAAAAAATTTTTCTTAATTTTTCAAAAATGGGATATACAAATTGCTCTCACGCTGGCAAGAAATCATTAATAATAATGGCAATTATATTTATTTAATAAAGTTTATTGACGGATAAGAAAAATTTGTATTTTGTTTTATTCCAAAAAACGGACAGAACTTTCCGGTAGACCTAATATATCGTCGAGGCTATATTGTCTGGCGGCGATCCCAATTTTGCGCGAGAAAGAAAATAGAAATAGTATTTTTATAGCTATATACTTATATAAAAGTTTGAAGTACGAAACTAACGTATCCGGCAAGTGTATATTTTGCGCCAAATGCACGATTGTGAAGAAGTCGCGATGTAAATATCGTTATATTAGCACTTTGCAACGTCATTGTCGCGCGATTATGTATCGAGTTGATAAAGCAAGCAATCGAACACGTACCTGAAAAAAAAAAAACCATCGCGTATACTTGGTATTGAGATGCAAATCGATTCGAAAAACGATTGTGTGAATTGAAAAAAAAAATAAAAATAAATAAACAAACGTGAAAAGTTCAACATTTACGTACACCGAGATAAAAATTGCGATTTGTATTCGATTGTTCGATATTGTAATCGTTCGATTGTGTTACTTTGTATTTGATCTTTAGACCAGCGGTTCAATCGATCTTTCTCTTTCTCTCTCTCTCTCTCTCTCTCTCTTTCCGCAACGAAAGATCAAGGAAAGACTCTCAATACACAGAGCTTTTTATTCATTGCTTGATAGATACTTCGCAGAGCGCGAACGATAAGGAAGAAAACATCTCTCTCTCTTTCGGATGAATCGCGAGTAATCTGCGAATGCGCAAGTGAGAAAATCCTGTCTCGGATACGAAAATGAACATTTTGGGCGTGAAATTTGCGCCGTTAAACGTACCTCTGGAAAGAAGACTGCAGACTCTCGCGGCGGCGACATGGTTTGTGATTCTAAGTCTGAACGGCGTGCTCGGGTTCCTCATTGCGGGCTATCTTCTGCTCTATACGCAAACCATTCGCTACCTCATGCTGCTGTACCTTGTATGGATGTATTACGATTGGGACACTTGCAACCGCGGTGGTAGAAGGTAACAGTTTTACGTACAGTTTTCTGTCTTTCTGACACATCGTGGAATAGAGAATTGACGAGTTTTTTTTTTTTTTTTTTTATCTACCGTAAGTAAGACTTTTTTTATTTTAATCCGTAATTCGCTCGTGAAATTGTCAAAAAATAATAAATCAAAGGGCCGATACGGTAGCAGTAAATACAAGGTGTTAGTATATGAAAAGCAGTTTTTTTATTTAAAAAACACAACAGACGTTTCGGTCCATAGGTTAGGACTTCTTCAGTGAAACAAATTAATGCAGAATAGAAAACACGTGAGAACACAGCATTATTAAACACAGTTGAAACAAACAAACAAAAAACTTATATAAAGATAGATAAGAGAAAGAAACTGTGTACTGACGTCACGTCAGTATGGACCGAAACGTCTGTTATGTTTTTTAATAAAAAAAACTGCTTTTCATACACTAACACCTTGTATTTACTGCTCGCGCGCGCGCGTGTCGGCCGTTTGATTTATTATTTTTTATTTTATTTTGCGATAACAATTTGTATTACCGTGCTATTTTCTTCACAAAGTGTGGAATTAAAATTACGGGAATATGAAGAGCGTTTTTCATATTTTGTCGCCAAAAAATTCTTCGAGCTCGGATTCGAAAAAAATTACTGAAAAAAAAAAAAACTAAATTTCTCACCTCTTCGCACGCTACATCAGTGACAATTCGTTTGAATCGCAATGTGAGAATCATTCCTGGTAAAAAATTTTTCATGTATAAAATTGTACAGACATAATCAATCAATCGCTCGTGAAAAGTTAAGAATAATTAAAAGGCTAATAATGACCAATTACACTTACTGTCAGTACACAGTATTTGTAATTCGTTGTCATACACGATTGACATCATTTATTTTATATTTTTGTGATGTTGTGATCTAATTTGTTTTTTAATTGAATGTTTATTATTACACTGAAGAAGGTCCAAACTTGAGGACCGAAACGTATGTGTTTTTTGGAATAAAGACTTATATTTATACACGCACATCCTGTATTTACTGCTCGTATCGGCCTTTTAATTATTCTTGTACAGACATATTCGGCACATATAAATTTGTATGATTAGATATAATAATTTTAATTTGTGCATAAGTATATATGATTGTATATCAAAAATTTTTTAAAAATATAGTAAAAATATAGTTTTATATAATTTTTTGTATCTAACATGATACTAATAGAGTTATTTTGTTAATTTGATATGGAATATCTCTGAAGCCATTCTCTTAAAAAAAGAAATTGTGTATAAAATTGTATGGACATATAAATTTGGATAATTAGATATAATAATAATTCTAATTTGTGTATAAGTATATATGAAAAATTTTTTACCGGGTTAGTGTTTGTTCTTGTGAAGATGCGCGAATGCTCTTTGTGTTTTCAGTCACCGTTGGACAGGATGGGCGAGAAATAATCCGTACTGTCGTCTTTTGTGCGACTATTATCCGGCGAAGTTGGTGAAAACGGCCGATTTGAATCCGAATAAGACCTACGTTTTCGTTTACGTTCCTCATGGAATTTTGCCGACGGGAATGATGTGTGCGTTCGGCACCGACGTGTTGGGTTTCAAGGATCTATTTCCCGGTCTGGAGATACGCTCGGTCGTTCTCGATCAGCATTTCATGACTCCTTTCTTCAGAGAATACACTCTTGCCGGAGGTGAATATTTTCTCAAACGAGCGCGATTTTTAATAAACAAATGTGTTCTGGCATTTGAGAAGGACCTAATACAAGGTCGAAAGCGTTAATGCTACTAAGTTTCAATAAACTGATTTAAATATTCACACATCAACAACAGTGTTTTGCTTCAATAGCCAGAATACATTTGTTTATTAAAAATTCTTGAAGCTACATACACTCATCTTTACATAATTATTATCAAGCGCGATTTTTTTTCTTTCAACTTTGTTTATTTCTTGCATGTATTTGCGTTACGCGAGTGTTTTATTATAATAAAAAACTTTGAGCAACAAGGTCTTTCAAAAGAGTCGCATGCTTAGTCGATTGCAACATATCGACACGATGACGATTGATTTATTGCGTTGCACGTCAAAGAAAAAAACATGCCAGACGAAGTAAAAAAAAGTTTACTTCGAAAAAAAAAAACAAGAAATTATTTAATAATTAATAAAGACTTAAGGCTCGTGAAATTTAAACCAATGAATGAATATAAAGCCTTACGAGCCGTTCTCAAAGTGTTGAGTGAGAACTTATACATGTATATATATATGTATACACATGTAACGAATTTACTTGTAAATTTTACAAGTGAGGTTTTTGAATTGAAATCTCAATTCTTAAAATCATACGGGATGCTAGATTTAATAATTGGTTAGGGGGGTATCCGGGGTCTCTCATATGTGAGATGCAAATCTAGCATCCCGTATGATTTTAAGAATTGAGATTTCAATTCAAAAAACTCACTTGTAAAATTTACAAGTAAATTCGTTACATGTGTATACATATATATATATACATGTATAAGTTCTCACTCAACACTTTGAGAACGGCTCGTAAGGCCTTATATTCATTCATTGGAAGAAATTATTTCTCATGATGCAAATGAATAATAAAGAGCAATAATTACATCGAACGGCTTACAGGCTGTATCGCTTCTAACGCAAGAAGTCTTGAGTACGCGCTGTCGTCACCGCCGGAGGAACCGTACACCGGAAAAGCTGTGACTCTAATTCCCGGAGGCGCATCCGAAGCGTTGGAATCGAAACCGGGTACTTATCGCACGCTTATAAAGAGAAGAAAGGGCTTCGTGAAATTAGCATTGAAAAACGGGTGAGCGCGGTTTACACTTAATATTTTTTCATAAATTCTTATTATACCATAGATAGCCAACTGAGCGCAAGTTGTTGGCAACTTGCTACAAATATTGCTCATAAGTTTTCAGCAATGTAACAAAAGGGTGTATCCTCTTTTCGGTATGTTCTTGCCAGCAACAGTTTTCAAAATATAATAACAGCAAGTTCCTACAACAACTCATCGCGGCAATAAACTTATATTATTTTTCTCAACTTGTGAATAAAAATCATTGCTCACATATTGCTCACATATTGCTGCTCGCTTGTCATACACATTGGCTACAACAATTAATTGACAACAAAACAGCATATTGATACTGAATTGACAAAAACATTTTTGTTGCGTTAAATAAAAACAACACAACAACAATTGGCAAGCAACTTAATCCCCGGTAAAAAATTTTTCATATATACTTATACACAAATTAAAATAATTATTGAATAAGAATATTCGTTAACAAATTAATATGCAATGGATAAGGCTATACGAGCAATTATACTGGTTGTTGGTGTAATTTTTTTATACTAATTCCTTTATTCTTTAATTAATCAAACGTTTCGATCTTTAATTTAGATCTTCTTCAGTAATAGTCTAATATTACGAAGAATTCTAGGTTTACATACACTAACAATGTCAAAACATTATAAATAACTTAACTAATAACTTTGTTCTGACTACTTGTATATAGCTTACTTTCTTATTAAATTAAAGAATAAAGAAATTATTATAAAAAAATACACCAACAACCAGTATAATTGCTCGTATAGCCTTATCTATTGCATATAAAATAATTATATCTAATTATGCAAATTTATATGCCGAATATGTCCATACAATTTTATACACGGAGAATGTCTTTTTTTAAGAGAATGGCTTCAAAGATATTCCATATCAAATTACAAAATAACTCTATTAGTATTATGGTAGATACAAAAAAATTATATAAAACTATATTTTTACTATATTTTAAAAAAATTTTTGATATATAATCATATATACTTATACACAGATTAAACTTATATCTAATTATACTAATTTATATGCCGAATATGTCTATACATTTTTATACACGGAGAATTTCTTTTTTTAAGAGAATGGCTTCACAGATATTCCATATCAAATTACAAAATAATTCTATTAGTATCATGTTAGATACAAAAAAATTATATGAAACTATATTTTTACTATATTTTTAAAAAATTTTTGATATACAATCACACATATATACTTATACACAGATTAAACTTATTATATCTAATTATGCAAATTTATATACCGAATATGTCCATACAATTTTATACATGGAAAATGTTTTACCGGGTCTATACAATGATTTGCTTTATATTGAGTTTTCACATTTGGCTATCTGGGTATATCTACGTCGATCGTTTACAATCGACTTCACTTGTGTTAAGAAAAACGATTATCAAAAATAACATCGTTCTCGGATATACAAAATATGTGTTTAACAAAATAAATACACATTGCAAGAGAGAGGAAAATGAACAAAATATATTAACACATGACGTAACGCGAATCTAACGCGATATCATTTTTTAACACGATTCGTCGTTCATTTAGCGCGGCGTTAGTTCCTGTTATCTCGTTCGGCGAAACGAATTTGTACAATCAGCTGCACGCGCCGGAAGGATCGTTGCTGAGACGCGTTCAGAATTGGATTCGCAAGTACATAGGCTTGGCACCTGTCATCATTTCGGGCAGAGGATTCTTCCAGTACTCGTTCGGTCTCATTCCAAAGCGATCGCCCATCACGGTAGTAGGTGAGGTGTTCTCCGTCTTTTTTCTAAATCTGTCTACGTGTGTCTCAACATGTACATACATTAATAAAAAAAAATCATGTTTTATGAGAAAGATAAGAATGCGTTGATAAAACGATGGTTTTTTTCTTTCAAGTTGGAAGTTCCTTGGAGCTACCGAAGATGTCGACGCCCACGTCCGAACAAATCGACGAGTATCACAAAAAATTCGTCAATCTCTTGAGCACCACCTTCGAAACGGAGAAACACAAGTACATAAAGGACGCGGAGAAAACGACTCTCGAATTCTTATGACTCGCGCTCGATACGAACAAACGATACGGAACTGCGGATATAAATTTGTTTCGATCTGAAAACATACGTGAAAAAGCGTTTCTCGTTGCGTTGACCGTATTCTTCATTACGATTCATTAATAATCATCTTTAACAAACTAATTTACCCGCATATTATTTTGTATAATACAAAAAATAATGATATACATATCATTTATATTGCAATATAAATATATATCATGTAATATGGAAGAAGATGACAATTTTGTGTGTGTATGTGAGATATGTAATTCGATTGAACGCAGAAAAATGTCTTTTTGTAATAGCGTTTTATGTATGCGAGAAGTTATGTGTATAAATACGGTGGTTGTTGTTACATTAATGTTTGTACCGTTAGATTATAATTTACTTAATTAGAGATAAGAGAAGTAAGAAAGTGTCTTTAAGAGACAAAGTAGTATTTAGCACAAAAAATTGTGTGTCACAATTTTAGCAGCAATATTTTGTAAGAAATAGTTGAAACAAAGAAGATCACGACTTCAAAAACACGTTGTTATTATCTAATATATTAAACCACATCTTTGTAAACAACCTGTAGTTGATTATTGCATTGCGGCGCCATCTCTTCTTCGTGTATTTTTGTTTGTCTGTGAGTTTGTTTCGTGTTCACTTCTACGCTAAATCCGCATCCTTTTCGTAAATATCAAAGTTCACGTGTGGCTACTGATATATATATATATATATATATATATATATATATAT